ACCATGTTAGAATTTCTTGGCTTGGTATTGAAGTCTCACCATTGACCTAGTGATTCTTAGGAGTTCCCTGCACTTGATACCTTCCGGAATGTTATTTCGCATTCTTTATAAGCACCGGTAATCCCGATCGAGTCGTAATGCGGCGTGCCAGTGATTTTTCCGAAAAGACTCCACGATCTTCGGAGATTGTGAAGGAAGCTAGGATAATCGCCTATGTTTCAGCCCAAAATTGGATGCAAAAAGAATATCGATATGTAAACTTAATAAATTTGATCCGAAAATAAGCTACACCCCGGATTTCTACGGTATTAGTTGACTATTTCTGTATGTTTAATAATCAATTTGACCTATCTGTTTAGACTGAATTCTGAAAAATGTATCATTTCATAAAATTAAAATTAAATATCGATATAGATAGCTTGCGTATTAAATATCAAGTCTTGATCTGAACTGTTTCAAAAGTTTACTTCATGAAAATGAGAAAGGTTAGGTTCTTCATGACAATCATTGGATAGCTTATGAATAATTCTGTTTATGCGAATGGATGCATGATGAAGTTTCAGAATTGATTGGCTACTTTTTCGATGTTGCCTCCTTTATTGAAATTTGTCCTCGTTCGGATATGTATTAAACGGTTTCTGGAAAGAAACCATGATTATTGATCGGCAAAATATAGTGTCATCATTGAAAGCATTTTTTACCCGAGTAAATATTAATTTGGATATTTTATGATTAATTGTAGGATATTATTTAGTAGATGTTGCAATATGTTTGTTGCTTTGATACGTACCATCAGACACGCGAACTAATATTTTAGAAACTGGTTTCCTTCAAATTTTAACAGGAAGATATGGATATTGACAAATTTTACAAGGAAGGTTTTTTGATATTAGAAAATGGTATATAGAGTCAGTCAGTTAAAAAATTTCATAAGATAATCTAGATAGGCATAATCATCATTTTTAATTCAGGATTAACACCGAAAGAACTCGATTGTCTGAGAAATGAATGTGATGTTTTAATTAATCATATCTACAATACTGGTTTGGATCTCTTGGAAGATTTCGGATGTGTGATTGGCAAGTATTTTATCAATAGGGAAGGGAACGATAAAATCAAATAATACTCTTTCCATGAACTGTTGAACATTTGCGATCGCTTATGATTTTTTGATTAATGCAAGACAGAACCACTAAATTGCGGGTACATTGAATTTAATGGGGTCAACCTCGCTCAATCTAAAGAAAAATACAAGTCGGATAAAGAAACGTATCGTCGATATCGCTTACAAATTAGCGGCGAATATGCTGTTGATTTGATTCTGGGAAAAATTGCGAGATTGGCTGGGAAGCTATTACCATCTACTCGTAATGATGGTATTTATCTTGTGCGTGTGGATTTCTTATGTATAATTGCATCGTAAATTGTAATAATTAAATTAATCAATTCTATTGAAGTTCAATGAACAATTTATTGTAAAACCACCGAGAAATTCGCGCGCAAGATTTGAATGGCATCAGGTAATAAACGAATTATTTTTATGATAAATTCGGAGTAATTTTCGTTTTAGTTAGAAGATATATAAAAAGCGTTTAACTAGGACTCGGAATATATGGACGAGAGATCAAGATCAGTTCCGTCAATTGCATGCTGGATCGCTTTGGATGATATGAGCAAGGTAAATATTTTGGGACGAAGAGTATAATCAAGGATAAATTATTTATTGATTATCTCTCAAAAAAAAGGAAAATGGAACACTATATATTGAGCCATATCCGATAATCTCCAATCAAACTCTAAATATACCCATAAATTTGGACAACATTTCCCATGATTGTTATTTCAAGTGCAGGGAACTCCTAAGAATCACTAGGTCAATGGTGAGACTTCAATACCAAGCCAAGAAATTCTAACATGGT